GGGTCCGGGCTGGGGATTCGAACCCGCCACCTTAGGTGTACGTGGCTGGCGCCTTAGCCAGTTGAGCTATAGGCGCCGAGCCCTGAGTTTTTTTCTTCTGTGGATATTTTTGATGCTGTATCCAAAAACTCATCACCAAACCCAAGGTCATCTAGATTTTCTCCTATGTGATTGTTCAGAAGTTCTGTAATTTTGCATTTTATATTTAGGCCTATCATTCATTTTGAGTTAATTTTTGTGAAAGGTATAAGGTGTATGTCTAGATTTACTTTATTTATTTATTTGTTGCTTGTGGATCCTCACTTGTTCAAGCACCATTTGTTGAAAAGACTATCCTTTCTCTGTTCAAAATCTTTGCCTTTTCTCCTTTGTCAAAGATCAGTTGAGTATATTTGTGAGTCTATTTCTGGGTACTTTGTTCTATTCCCTTGATCCATTTGTCTAGTCTTTCACCAATATCATGCTGTCTTTTTTTTTTTTTTTTGAGACAGAGTCTCACTTTGTCACCCTCGATAGAGTGCTCGGGCGTCATAGCTCCCAGCAACCTCAAACTCTTGGGCTCAAGTGATTCTCTTGCCTTAGCCTCCAAAATAGCTGGGACTACAACCACAAAGCCTGGCTATTTTTTAGAGATGTGGTCTTGCTCTTGCTCAGGCTTGTCTCAAACCCATAAGCTCAGGCAATGCACCCACCTTGGTCTCCCTGAGCACTAGAATTATAGGAGTGAGCCACCACACCTTGGCAATATCATGCTATTTTATTGTGGCTTCATAGTCCATCTGGAAGGTGGATGGTGTCAGTGTTCTGACTTTGCTCTTCAACATTGTGTTGGCTATTCTAGGTCTTTTGCCATCAAACTTTACCATCAATTTGTCAATATCTACCAAGTAATTTCCTGGCATTTAAAAAAATTGATAGATAAAATTGTGTGTATTGGGGCGGTGCCTGTGGCTCAGTGAGTAGGGCACTGGCCCCATATACCAAGGGTGGCGGGTTCAAACCCAGCCCCAGTCAAACTGCAACAAAAAATAGCCGGGCATTGTGGCGGGCGCCTCTAGTCCCAGCTACTCGGGAGGCTGAGGCAAGAGAATCACCTAAGCCCAAGAGCTGGAGGTTGCTGTGAGCTGTGATGCCACAGCACTCTACCACAGGCAACAGAGTGAGACTGTCTCTAAAAAATAAATAAATAAATAAATAAAATTGTGTTTATTTATCATGTACAACATGATGTTTTGAAGTACATATATATATACACGCACACACACACACACACACGGTGGAATAACAAAATCTGGTTAATTAGCATATGCATTACCTCACATTATGATTTTTTAATTTACAGGAATTTTAATTAGGATTGCATTGAATCTTTATATAAAGTTTGGAGAACTGATATCTTGACACTATTGAGGCTTAACATCCATGAACATGGAGTATCTCTCCATTTATTTAGATCTTTGATTTTTTTTCATGAATCTAGCTTTTTTCACTGGAATATTTAACTTAGAGATCATTCCATTTCAGCACATATAGATTTATCATTTTAAATAGATGAATAATAGGCCATTGTGTGGTTGTACAAAAATTTACTTAACCATTTCCTTCTGGATGTTTAAGATGAATGTTTAAGTTGTTTCCAATCTTTATCCACCACATACAGTGCTGTAGTGAGAGTCTCATAAGATTTATCTTTGTAGACATATGTGAGTATATATTTGGATAAATTCCTAGGAATAAAGTTTACAGTTGGAAGTATGTACAGTTTAAATTTTGGTACATTTTACCTATTTTTCTTCTAAAGAAGTTGTACAAGTTTACACTCCTAGAATGGTAAATGAGAGTATTTATTCCCATAATCTCACCAATATAATAGTTGTCAATTCTTACAATCTTTATCATTTGGATCAGTTAAAAACAGATCTTGAGGCCAAGGTGGGTGGATTGCTTAAGCTCAGAGTTCAAGACTAGACTCAGCAAAAGTGAGACCCTGTCTCTAAAAAACAGCTGGATGTTTGTGGCAGGTGTCTGTTTTCCCAGCCATTTGGAAGGCTAAGGCAAGAGGATTGCTCAAGCCCAACAGTTTGACATTACCGTGAGCTATGACACCATAGCACTCTACTAAGGGTGACAAAGTGAGACTCTGTGTCCAAAAAAAAAGAAAAATAGATCTCCTAGTATTTATTTATATTTCTCCTAAATGTGAGGTTGAGTATCTTTTTGTCTATTTAAAAGTCTCTTTGATAGAAACTATTTTTTTCTTTTTCTTTTTTAAAGACAGAGTCTTGTTCTGTCACCCTGGCTGTAGTCTAGTGACATGATCATAGTTCACTGCAGCCTCAAACTCCTGGGTTCAAACAATCCTCCACCAAGCCTCCTAAGTAGCTGGTACTTTAGGCATATACTACCACACCCAGCTAATTTTTTTATTTTTTGTAGAGATGAGACCATGCCATGTTGTTCAGGCTGGTCTCAAACTCTTGGCCTCAAGTGAAACTAATGCCTCAGCCTCCCAAAGTTCCGAGATAATAGGTTTGAGCCACCATGTTTAGCCAGAAACAATTTTTTAAAAAACAAATTATGTGTAAAAAAATTTCGATTACTAGGGTAGAGTAGATAAATGACATATAAGGCTTGGCACCTGTGGCTCAAGTGGCTAAGGCTCCAGCCACATACACCTAAGGTGGCAGGTTCAAATCTAGCTCGGGCCCACCAAATAACAATGACGGCTGCAACCAAAAAATAGCTGGCCATTGTGGCGGGCACCTGTGGACCCAGCTACTTGGGAGACTGAGGCAGGAGACTCGCTTGAGCCCAGGAGTTGGAGGTTGCTGTGAGCTGTGATGGCATAGCACTCTACCCAGGGGGGCAGCTTGAGGCTCTGTCTCAAAAAATAAAAAATAAATGATATATAAGTGGTAAAAGATTTGAAATTAAAATTTTTATTTTTGAATAATTTAGTATATAATTTTCTAATTCATAAGCCATTTATGGTAACATCCTTATACATATATAAGTATCTGGAAAATTTAATTAATTTATTTATTTAGAGACAGAGTCCCACTGTGTTGCCCTTGGTAGAGTGCTGTGACGTCACAGCAACGTGCAGCTCTTGGGCTTAGGTGATTCTCTTGCCTCAGCCACCCAAGTAGCTGGGACTACAGGTACCCACTGCAATGCCCGACTATTTTTTGTTGCAGTTTGGTAGGGACCGGGTTCAAACCTGCCACCCTTGGTATGTGGGGACCCTACTCTCGGAACCACAGGCACCACCCAAAAATTTTATTTTATTTTATTTTATTTTTTTGAGGTAGAGTCTCACTTTGTTGCCCTTGGTAGAGTGCCATGGTGTCACAGCTCACAGCAACCTCAAACTCTTAGGCTTAAGTGATTCTCTTGCCTCAGCCTCCCAAGTAGCTGTGACGACAGGTATCTGCCACAAGGCCTGGCTATTTTGTTGTTGTTGTTGTTTAGCAGGCCTGGGCCGAGTTAGAACCCACCAGCCCCAGTGTACAGGGCCAGCACCCTAACCACTGAGCAATGGGTGCCAAGCTTAAAAACAATTTTAGAATTGCTTTTTATCTTGACTGCAATGTGACTTCTGATACAACTTAAATACATGGTATTTACTGTTATTGATAAAGTGTGATAATATTTAATGTGTATCTTAAAGTTGGCATATGATGCTACACTGGAAATTTATAAATGATGCCACTTATAATTCTTATTTCTTTGGCCTTGATGTTACACGTTTTTAAGAATAGATATTTTACATATTTCTGCATAAGTAAGTGATTTATTCTGACCTGTTTCAGACCTGTGGATATTTGGGCTTTGGGCTGTATGATCATTGAAATGGCCACTGGAAATCCCTATCTTCCTAGCAGCTCTGATTTGGATTTACTCCATAAAATTGTTTTAAAAGTAGGTAGGTATTACTGAAATAGTCTATTAAATATCTAAAATAAATGTTGCTAAATAATAAACAGATCAAATCTAAAAAATAAACAGATCAATTCTGTGTGATTTTCAAATTTAGTTCTTCTGTGTAAGAACAGGGAAGCATATTGTTTTGATAGATAGCAACAGATGGATGCCTTGGGCTGATACAGAAGGCAGAAAATTTTCTGTTTTTGCAAATAATATTTTCTTTCCTAGGATGCAAATAGCTAAGCCATATGTTGATGGTTGCTACTAAGAAAAATAGTGCAACAGTAATTTAACTTCAGTTTATTTAAAAGTTGGCTTTTACAAGTATTTATACCTCTAAGCAAGCACTTTTAAATAATAGAGTCCAGCACTTGGAGATATAGGCAATCGATTATGTACTTAGAAACCACTCTTCTTTTTTTAAATCATAGTAGTAGCCAGGTAGCTAAGTAACTTACTCAAGAATATCTTTGATGGGAGTTTAATTTTGTTGTTCTACAAATAATAACAACAAAATTCTTCTTCTTCTTCTTTTTTTTTTTTTTTTTTTTTTTTGACAGAGTCTCACTCTGTTGCCCTGGGTAGAGCACAGTGACATCATAGCTCACAACAACCTCAAACTCTTAGGTTCAAGTGATCTTCTTGCCTCAGCCTCCCTAGTAGCTGGAACTATAGGTGCCTGCCACAACACCCAGCTAATTTTTCTACTACTAGTAGAGATGGGGGCTCGCTCTTCTCAGGCTGGTCTCGAACTTCTGAGCTCAAGCAATCTTCCTGCCTAGGACTCCAGAGTGCTAGGATTTCCAGGCATGAGCTACCATTCCAGGCCAAGAATTTTATTATTATTATTTTTATTTCTTTGGAGACCGTCTCAGTCTATTGCCCAGGCAAGAGTGCCATGGCATCAAACTAGCTCACAGACTAGCTCAAGTGATCGTTCTGCCTCAGCCTCCTAAATAACTGAGACTAGAGGTGCCTGCCACAACACCAGGCTAATTTTTCTATTTTTAGTAGAGTAAGGGTTTCGCTCTTGCTCAGGCTGGTCTTGAAATGTAGACCTCAAGAGATCCTCTTACCTTGGGCTCTCAGAGTGCTAGGATTCTAGGCATGAGCCCCTGAGCCTGGCTAAGAGTTTAATTATTTAATGATCCTGTTTGACCAACCAAACTTTTTAATGATTAGCTTTAGCCTTGCACATGGTATTTCAATAACTTTTTTTCTCCAGAGACAGTCTTGCTGTGTTGCCCTGGCTATAGTGTAGTGGTGTCGTCATAAATTCCTGTAACCTCCCGGGTTCAAGTGATCCTCCTGCCTCAGCCTCCTGAGTAGGTGGGACTATGGGCACATGCTGCCACACATGGCTAAGTTTTCTATTTTTGTAGAGAAGGGGTTCTCCACTTTGTTGTTCAGGCTGGTCTCAAACTCCTGGCCTCAAATAAATCCCCCACCTTGACCTCCCAAACTGCTATGATTACAGGCATAAGATACCTGGTTTGAGGTTTTATTTCTGAATGAGGACCTCGAGGAGCCCTTTTTGTGGTGGGGAAGCTCAACATCAGGTGTCCTCAAACTATGGCCCACAGGCCACAGGCAGCCCGCCTAGGACATTTATCCGGCCTGCCTGATGTTTTTGCCACTGCTGCCTATCCTGCTTAGTAGCCGACTCATCCTGGGGCCTGCAGTCTGGCCCTCCAGTGGTCTGAGGGACAGTGAACTGGCCCCCTATTTAAAAAGTTTGAGGACCCCTGCTCAACATAAACTTGTGATTACAGGATCAGGTACTGAGAACAGTTTTAAGACCAGTGAAATCTGGATTAAAAATTAAGATACAGTTCAGAGCCTACAGGCATCACATTTTGTTTGTGTTTTCTTTAAAGTCCTAGGTATAAGATTAATGTTAGAAAACACCTTAGAGATGATGGGACTAATCCTATCATTTTACAGGTACAAAAAAGAAAGAGATTTACCGAGGTCATAGAAATAGTTATAGCAAAACTGGTGCTAGGCCTTAGTTCTCTCCATTCCTATTGTTCTTTGCATTCTACTACTACTAGTCTGTTTCTTTTTGGCAGTATTTTGATTTTGAAATAATTTTCAATATTTCAAGCTGTTTTGAGTAAGGTTCCAATGTATTTTGTTAGTGAATACTTCATAGTTAAGCCATGGAGCTATGCAAATGCAAATGTATAAAATTTGACTGTGGTTTTTCTGATGGAATTACTTATTATGTCTTATAGGTTGAGAATAGAAAATGAACCTGGTGATTTTACATTCTTTGTTGCCCATGTGTTATCAGTAGATTGCTAGGGAAACTTCAATTTTTTAAATGACATTATTGGATAGTTTCTTGTTTAACTTTACACAATTAACAGACATAATTTTTATTTTTCCTAGTCTTGGTTTTTAGTAGTTTAATGCAGATCACATAGCAATTTCATTATTTTGATTGTATTCTAATTTCTCTGTTTCTTTATGTATATATATTTCTTCTCTTTTCAGGCAATTTGACACCTCACTTGCAGAATATCTTTTCTACAAGTCCCATTTTTGCTGGGGTGGTCCTTCCTCAAGTTCAACATCTCAAAAATGCAAGAAAAAAATACCCAAAGCTTAATGGATTGTTGGCAGATATAGTTCATGTATGTTAAGAGATTAAGAACTTTTATGTGAAAAATTTGCATTAATTATAATATAGTTTTAAATGATTACATTAATGGAATTCCAAAAGGATTCCTAAAGTAATGCTATCTGTGGAAAGTTTTTAATAGAGGATGGGTGCAGTGACTCATGCCTGTAATCCTAGCACTCTGGGAAGCCAAGGCTAGTGAATCACCTGGGCTCAGGAGTTCAAGACCAGCCTAAGCAAGAGTAAGAACCCCCATCTCTACTAAAAAAAAAAAAATAGAGAAACTAGCTGGGCATTGTGTTGGGTTCCTGTAGTCCCAGCTACTTGGGAGGCTGAGGCAAGAGGATCACCCAGGAGTCTGAGATTGCTGTGAGCCACGGCACTCTACCCAGGGTGATAGAATGAGACTCTGTCTTAAAATAAAAAAAGTTTTTAATACAGAGGAATTAAAATTCATAGGCTATCAGAACTAAAGACCCCCCCCCTTAAGATAATCATATCCACTATTTTTAGTTTATCCCACTTTAGTGATAATTAGACATAAACTAGAAAAATTCTGAGGACTTACCATACTTATCACTACTTTTTACAAGTAGTCTAGATAGGTTAGAGATCTGTTCTTTGTACTGTGGTATCTTGCTATCATTTGGATATTGGATGTTGAAATTTGATTCCCATCATGTTAGAGATGGATCCTTCATGAATGGCTTGTCAGTCCTCATAGTAATGAGTGAGTTCTTCCTTATTAGTTTCCATGAGAGTCCCTCCCTGACCTAGAGCAGAAAGTAGTACCTCCCCACTCCCTCTTTTGCTTCTGCTATTACCGTGGGGCCCCTGTACTCTGGCTTCCCTTTGGCTGTGGCACTCACCAGAAGCAAATGTAACTCCTTTTAGTATGGTCTGTAAAACCATGAGCCAAATAAACCATTTTTCTTTATAAATTACAAAGATTCAGTTACTCTATTATATCTGCTCCCCCACCTCTCAACAGGCTGCCAGAACTCTACCTCCCTTACACCCTTGAGGTATGGAAAAATTATCTTCCAAGAAATTGGTTGGGACCAAAACAGTTGGGACCCGTGTCCTAAGGTATCCACAAGACATTGGCAGCTGTAATTTTAATGTTGTATGAAGTTACATCAAGGCTAAACTCAACCTGTATGTGGCTGGCACCATAACCACTGTGCTATGGGCAGTCAGCCACACCCAGCTATTTTTAGAGACTAGGTCTTGCTCTTAGCTCAGGCAGTCGGCACACCTTGGCCTCCCAGAGTTTTAGGATTACAGGCATGAGCCACTGCACTTGGCCTTTATAATTTTTTTTTTTTTTTT